GACTACATCTCTTTAGATTTAGAGATATTTTAGAGATTGTAACCCCATCACTTGAAATTGAATGTAATATTTGTCGATATATTTCTTGTCTTGATTATTATTTTTCAGGAGCGAAATTTACTTGTTACAAATTTTGGCACGCCCAGTGGGACTGGCGATGGCATGCTTTTGAAAGGCTGAATCGCGCGAAAGTTCGTCCGACCACCTCATTGATGTTGTTCCCTTCTTCTAGCAGATACGAAGATGATCTCACTTCATTTGGAGAAGATGAACGAAAACCTGAGTTGTGGACGGCACTTCAAGCACTTATTGTCCTAGTATTTCGGCTTTGCTTCTTTTGATTTGCCGAACAATCTCCATGGCAACTTCCAATCCGCTTTTGGAGTCAAATCTAGGGTTGTTTCTTATTGTAGCCATCTTGGTGTTCTTGAACTTCGAATTTCAAGAACACCAAGATGGCTACAATAAGAAACAACCCTAGATTTGACTCCAAAAGCGGATTAGAAATTGCCATGGAGATTGTTCGGCAAATCAAAAGAAGCAAAGCCGAAATACTAGGACAATAAGTGCTTGAAGTGCCGTCCACAACTTAGGTTTTTCGTTCATCTTCTCCAAATAAAGTGAGATCATCTTCGTATCTGCTAGAAGAAGGGTACAACATCAATGAGGTGGTCGGACGAACTTTCGCGCGATTCAGCTTTTCAAAAGAATGCCATCACCAGTCCCGCTGGGCGTGCCAAAATTTGTAACAACTAAATTTCGCTCCTGAAAAATAATAATCAAGACAAGAAATATAGCGACAAATATTATATTCAATTTCAAGTGATGGGGTTACAATCTCTAAATTATCTCTAAATCTAAAGAGATGTAGTCCTCTGATTCTTCTCCTCACGGATGATGGTTCAAGAGCTTGAAAGCTTGATCTTAAACTTGATGGATTTCAGATTTGTAGTACGTCAAGAACAATTTGAAGGTTGTCACGAACCAGGATTTGGCGTTGGGTTATCAAGAACGGAAGATTTGAAGCCGTCCGCCTATGACTTAAGTTCGCCTTTGGAATTTGACCACAAACGACGATCGCAGATATGGATGGAGACCTTGATGCTATTCTTCAGAGCTTCTTCGGCCTTTCCTTCTGCTTATTTTTCTTGTCCCTTAGCCTTCTCCTTTGACCCCTTTATATAGGTGTGGGGTGGAGTAATCTTCAAGAAAACCCTAGTGGATAATTGGGCTTGAGGCTTATGGGCCGACCCATTTGATAGAAGACCAATTGACGGGCTAGCCCAATAATATATTGGACCTTTATTTAAATCAATTTAATTGGATTTAAATAACAAACCCAATTATCCCAGTCCATGTTACTTAATTGGACCAATATATATTTAATTTGTGGTAAAATCCAAATTTCTTATGGATACAAAATTTTTATTGTCTACTCTTCTCTTCGAAGTTCAAGAACACCAAGATGGCTACAATAAGAAACAACCCTAGATTTGACTCCAAAAGCGGATTGGAAGTTGCCATGGAGATTGTTCGGCAAATCAAAAGAAGCAAAGCCGAAATACTAGGACAACAAGTGCTTGAAGTGCCGTCCACAACTCAGGTTTTTCGTTCATCTTCTCCAAATGAAGTGAGATCATCTTCGTATCTGCTAGAAGAAGGGAACAACATCAATGAGGTGGTCGGACAAACTTTCGCGTGATTCAGCCTTTCAAAAGAATGCCATCGCCAGTCCTACAAATGCCCACGTTGCTACGCTCCTCGACGTACGAGCCTATACTGCAAGTCATGACGCTCCTTGATGTATGAGCTTAAACTGCACGTTGCTATGCTCCTCGACGTACGAGCCTAAACTGCAAGTCACCACACTCCTTGACGCATGAGTCTAAACTGCAAGTTGCAAAATACTCCTCGATGCATGAGCCTAAACTGCATGTCAAAATGCTCCTCAGCCCACGAGCCTAAACTGCAAGTTATGGTGCTCCTTAATACACGAGCTTAAACTGTATGTCACGGAACTCCTCAAATTCAAGCCAACTCTCCAACTTGTAAAGCTCTTCAAAAGTCTTCAAAGCGAAGTTCTTCAAACTCGAGCCAAAGCTTCAACTTGCAAAGCTCTTTAAATTTGAGCAAAGTCTTCAAGTTGCAAAGATATCAAAATTTGAGCAAAGTCTTCAAGTTGCAAAGCTCACCGAAATCGAGCAAAGACTTCAAGTTGCGAAGCTATTCAAATTAGAGAAAAGACTTCAAGTTGTGAAGCTCTTCAAATGGAGCAAAGTCTTCAAGATGTAAATCTCTTCAAATTCGAGCAAAGTCTTCAAGTTGCAAAGCTCTTCAAATTCGAGCAAAGTCTTCGAGATGCAAAGCTCTTCAAATTAAGCAAGTCTTAAAGATGTAAAGCTATTCAAATTTGAGCAAAGTCTTCAAGTTGCTATACTCCTTCTCTACACCAGTATAAACTCCATAAAAAAAAAACCTTATACTTCCTCTGAACTACGTTATGACTTGATCCTCTTCACCGAGGTACGTAGGCAGCTTAGATTTTTTATTCTAAATTCAGTCGCATGAGTTTTAAAAAAATAAAAGTTTGGCGTCATCGGATCATTACATTAATTCTTCCAAGTGTAGAGGCACATATATACGAGGAAAAGAGACGATTTGCTTTGAAGTATAAAAGATGTTTTATTGCTTCAGTAGTACAAAAGTTGATACATAAAAAAATATGTAGAGACAAAAGGAATTAGACGTTTTCCTATACAAAAGCCTAAGTCATGAAAATGATCGTAAACTAGGCTTTGTGGCCGACTCGTCCTGAATGCTTCTTCCAAGTCCATATGACGTCTCCACATTTTAATACACTATCCTCATTGCCTCGTATATTTAAGAACTCATCTATCTTGAAAGACCTTCAATCACCACGGGAGCCACCGTTGATGAACTTCAAGACTATCAACCAATCAAGTACAACAGTTGGTGAAGGGGTGGCTCCGCATTTTGTATGACACCTCAGTCTGATATCTCGACCCTTTGAGCTTCTTTGCAAGTCTGCAAAAGAAAACGAAGAGATAAGATTTGTGAAGCATGATAGAAAAACTTACTACATCCAAGACTGTAGAGTAAATTTCAAAAAAAAAAAAGAATGAAAAGAAACAACATTCGTAGGACAACTCAAAGAGTATAAAGCTGGAAAGCGAGCTCAACGAACGACGGGATCAACTTTGAAAAACTACTGCGGTCCATCCGAAAGACGTTCTGCCCCAAATATTTTATATGTTGTAGATTTGGGTGTCTAATCTCCAACAACACAATCCGTTTGTGATTTGGAGGCTCCTGGCTCAAGATACGATTTTTGTTGTCGGAACCGCACGAATCTGAAAGTTACTGCAGCTAGATGGATTGTGAGAATTTTCTGTTTCTAGCTCGGAAGGAGTTCTAGCGTGAAATTCATATGCGTTGCATCTCTATGAGTTTACTTTCTAACAGAACAAACGGATCGCAATTTGGAGTCTCCTAGCTCAAGATACTATTTCTTTTGTCGGAGCTACACGAATCTGAAAGTTCCTACAGCTAGATGGGATTTTTTGAGAATTTTCTGTTCCCAGCTCGAAAGGAGTTCTATTGTGAAATTCATTTGTGTTGCAGCTCTATGAGTTTACTTTCTAACCGCGCAAACGGATTGCAATTTGGAGTCTCCTAGCTCGAGATATGAATTTTTCTATAGGAGTGCGCAAAGCTGGATTGCAAGTACAGCAGACGTCGGGAGCAACTCCAGAATATTACTGCAGCCATTACGAGGGGAATCGTGCTATGAAATTTTCAGGTATGATAGGTGTCAGAGCTTTCTTTCCAATGGCGCAAACGGATCGCGATTCGGACACTCCTAGATCGAGATATCAATCTTTTAGCGAGACTATATAATGCTGTAATGTTAAAACGCTGGATACGTTTATCAGCTTCAAAAAAACAATATTGCGGCTAATCCTCAAGAAATTTGGTGCTGAATCTTTTTATGTGTTCCAGCCCTTTGAGTTGTGATTCTTTAGGAAGAAGCGACTTGTGATTTCATCGCTCCTGCATCGAGAAATAAATATTTTTGCAATAATACTATGATTTTTTAGAATGGTAGTCTCCACAAGGACAAAGGAAAAGCGATTGGCATGATGGGAAGAGATGGTTAGGTGAATTAGAATGTGGTGTTGATGGATTGGGGTTGGCAAAGAAAAAGAAAATTACCAAGCCAAAAAAAAAAAAAAAAGGAGAGGCTGCTGGTACCTGGACATAAATGTAGAACTGAGTAACTGAAGCTTAAGCTTTTCCTCAACTGTTCCCCACATCAATATAATACGCCTATTTCTGGTTTTTGTTGATCATAATCGTATGAATGGGCTTATAAAACTATTTGCTACTTTGACGAGCTTCTGTAGTCTTACACAGTATGACCATGGTTTTTCTTTGATCAAATCGTCAATTGTAATAAAATAGTGATTTTCTGCTTTGCTTATTTTATTTCAGAAGATGTGAAAGGTTTAATCCAAATATAAATAGGTAAAGAAACATTAGTATGGTAGGACCATTAGCTTAAAAAGATGAAGGGTGGTAACAGAAATGGGAGAATGGAAATGAGTGCGCTTTTCTCATAATCCTGTGTTTCATGGGAAGACTAAGCACTTCAATATCAAGCTTTTCTTCTTTGAGAGAAGTGCAAAAAGATGGAGCTATAACTCTAATCTACTGCAAGACGGAAGAAGAAGTCGCTGATATATTCACAAAGCCTTTACCAGTCAGCAAATTCGACAAACTTGGAGTTTACAGTTCCTAAAGCAAGGAGAAGTGTTAAAAAATGCTTTTGGACTGCAGTAATTTTTATTTTACTGTTTTAGTTTGAATAAGTCAAAAGTTTGTTAGCTAGAAGTTTCTATTATCTAGGAAATAGTTGGCAAGTAGGTGTTAGTGGGATCTTTTTTTACTGCATTATTCTGCTAGTCCATAGGCTATAAATGTAAGCTCCACAAGTTAATAAAATCAGATTTCTTCCACTGCTATATCAGTCTATTATCTGTGATTTTCTACTTTCAAATTACAACAGTATCTTTACACAAGCTTGAGATATTCAAACACTAAATCTTCAGAATGCACAAAGGACATTCACGTTCGGACGATTCTTTTTGGACTTTTCCAATGTATCTTTTTGCACGGATGATAAAATACCAGGTTGCAGTCTCCTCTCCTCTGTTTCCTGAAGCATTATGAAAATTTTAGAGCAATGACTGCATCATAAAAAATGAAGCTTGTCACCAAAAGGTATCACAAATAACCATCAAATTTGCTTGCTTAAACATTAGAAAGCTACAATATTGCTTATTTTGGGTGATTCGCATTCTTCAAAAGTAAACATAGCCTTGACACCGAAACAAAAGGCCCTCAACCACTTTAGCCATTTTTTTGACAAAGTTCTCTAAGCACATGGTTCTCTTTTGACCGCACAACTTTCATTTGCAATTGAAATAGCAAGTGGATGTATGTAATCATCAGCACCATTAAAAAGTGATCTACCAAATGTTGTGGCAAAAATATGGATTCACGATCCAAAATGATCCTACAATCTCTATTATAACCAAAAGTTTCGCGCTAACTTTGCCTTTACTGGTTCTTTGAAAGGCCAACATACAATGAGACATAAAATACCACAAGCTCAACAATATACTACCTACCTTCCAAATGAAAATAACTACGTGATTCGATGTTGAACTGAACTAAACAAAGAATGTTAAAGAGCCATCCGGAGTTTAATAAGCTCTTACATATTAGGCTATATGGCTAGGAAACTCTACTGTTGCTCTTGCTTTTTTCCCTTTCTACATTTTTCCTGCCTCCCAACTCCCTAGTCAAGATTTGTATTTAGCAATTATAGTTAAAAGTAACATAGCGGGGAGTAAAATGCAAAAGCAGCTTCATACCTTTTTCCATGTGGTAGAGGAATTCCAAAATTCGTGCTCTAACTGCATCGCAATCTTTTTCCCTAAAATCATTTTTGCATTTACCAATACTATAATAAGCACAGGAACCTAGTAGTGAAGGCAAACTCCAAATGGAAAGCAGGTAACATTAATCAAAAAGTTCTCCAATTTAAGAGTAACACTACTCTGTTAAACCTTTTTTCTATCATTAAGATATCATATCATTCATCAAGCTAGTATTATCTTTCAAAATCAAAGAAAAACTTTAAGGGAAAAAATCCGCAGCAAACAAAAAGCTTAAAACAGATGTTTATCTCAAGGTGAGCTTTCCTCTCATGTAACAGTACTAAAAAGAGAAGCCATATTATTCTCATTTTGAGAGGTAATAATGCAGAGTTGTCATGGTCCTTCTCTATATTTTATATTTAGGATGAGAATATAGCAAGTAGGTTAGCTTAAATCCAATAAAATCTGGAATATTTAAACAAAGAGCGACCATACATTTCCAAACTGTCGAAACATGAAAGGAGAGGTAAACCTGAAAAATCTTCTTGAGTTGCTCACCAACTGCCAAAAAAGATTTGAGGAGGAATTTAGTGCTGATGTCTCATAGACCCACAAGACAAAAACAAATGTTGATCATGATTATAAAAAAAATTGTCTTTTATCCATTAATGTCTGCAGCTGCTTCATCATTTCGTTCGTTATAAACTTCGTTCTTGGTATAACTCAGGCTGATAAGAGCTTACATTATCTGCAATTCAGCAACCTTACCCAACAAAAATATTCTGATCCCTTTCAGAATACTACCAAATATACATAAGAATATAAACAACAAAAAACAGTAACATATGTGACTCTGCTTTACCTCCATTTACAACAAAGTTCATAATACGGAAAACATTTTGTGTTGTCCAACCATATTTGAGGACTCTCAACTCAATTATGATATTTGAATCTGCACATTACCAACTAATTGAAAAAAATACCCTAAGAATATTCATCCAATGCAAAGGTGAGGATTCAAAAAGAGACAATAACTGAGGTTAGCAGAGGCTGAATGATAAAAATGTATATGCATTTTCCGAAATATTCCAAGTGCCAACACACAGGATTTCAAAGAGCTTTCTATATGAATATACAATTCTTCTCAAGTCAATATGATAATTTTTTTTAAGATATTAGCTAAAGTTCACATAGTCTAAATATCGAGAAGCGAAAAGCAATCACATAAACTGGGGACAGAGGGAGTATGATTTCTTTTATTAAGAAAGAGAATTAATTTTCTTTGTAAAAATTAAAACAATTTGTCGAGAACAAGTGGCATAGCCCAGTCCCCTGAAATTAGCGGAATTGGTTGCCGATAATAGAGTGTACATATTTGTTTAACATTTGAATTCCTACCTTCTAACCCCTCAACATTCGATATAATCAAATTGCAAAAAACTTAATGCAAGAAATAAAGAAATATTTCTCACTTTTGAATAATAAATTTAGGCACCTGCCAAAAAAAAAAAAAAACAGTTAGAGGAGCATCAAACTCTTCCATTTTGGCTGCAACTGATAAACAGGACAAAGCAACTTCCAAGTTAGTGCATAAATTTGTACCTGCATCTGAGTTCAAAGATAGAAAAGAGGCTATCAAATATTAGGAGAAATTTTAATGGTCACATAACTCCAATAACACATTTGGGAATCTCAAAAGAGAGCAACTTATATAATTTAATATGATTGCTTGAATTTCCTGAGCTCGCTTCTTCTTTCATTATTAAAATTATCATTTCCACCACATTTTCTTGAAGGTTTCATGTAGGGCATCTTATAATAATGACTCTTGTAGTTGGCTGGTTAGATTCATGAGTAGGAAGCATGATATTTCAAGTTTCAGTTTAGGATTGCTTGATGGATTGGATACATATTGTGGGCACTTAAAAGTAAAATCATCAAAGTAGTTGTTCTGCAGCCTTCGCCTGTTCCCAAATGAAAAATACCTTACTGTTTGATTTAGAGTGAATGCAGAAAATTTTGTACTTTGAACTTACTATAATATTCTCTCTAAAACGGAAATTACGAGTAAATCCATAAACACACATTCACAACAATGGTATAGCGAACTCCGACTTACCATTCATGGCTACAGTCACGAGCAGCTGAGCCAACAACTCAACTTCTTCAGCCAAACAACGATATTTTCAGAATAAATTTGTCTCTTCAGGCCCATCTCTATTCATGATAAATATGTTTTGCTTTCATTCGGCAATTTCATCGAACATGTCTTGAAGGAAATTGAAACAAAAGCAAACTGATCCAAGTAGGGGAAGACGCTGAACCACAGCATTTTTTAATTCAGAAATCTCAGTTATCAAGATCCATGCAAATCGGCAACATATGTCCAGAAATAGGTAGCCAAACGGGGAAAAATATATCAATAAACTCGCAAGAAAAGAGACAAAAAAAACATGAGGGAATAATAACAGGTAAATCCATAACATGCTTTAAGGTGTTAAAAGCACAAGCTGATTATCGGGAAAAAAAAAGGTTATATAAACAACTGCAAAAATAAACATAAGTTTTGACATCACTATTCAGTAGAGCGTGTATTGACTATTGAGGTCAATACAAAATATTTCGCAGATATTTATATTTATAGGATATTCATGCAATAACGCAAGTTTTCTTTCATCTCCAATTTGGTTCTAATAGAAAACTGCAATTCACTTTCGCTTACTCTAGGAATTGTAATCGCAAACTATTAGAGACAATTAAAAAATCGCACACATCTATAGGGGGAAGAACAGTAAGCTTTAAAATGGTAAGTAAAAATAAAAGGAGGATGATCCAAACTCACCGTAACACTATAAAATGCCAATGGTCTAGGATTTACTTAGCATCTCTAGAATGCTGATAGAAATCTATGCTATTTTTTGTTTGAATATTTGTGAGGGGAAAGAGAAAGATGAAAAAAAGATAATTGAGCTGTGTTCATTCCAACAAAAGCAGCGTAGTAGGAGGTGACACGACTAAGACACGTGTATGCACCTATGAGCTGTGTTCATTCCAACAAAAGTACATTTCAAATAACTTTTTGTACAACTTGTTAGAGCTGTGTTCGTACACTCATTCTCATTTATGTATAGTAGTAATAGTAATTTACTCTGATTCCAGTGTTAGAACAATAACGCACATGAAAATATCTTCCTTTTCTGGCTTATTTATTCCTCTAATTTCATCACATGCACAAATTCAAGCATGACTTTAATAATCTCCGTCACTTCATCCATCACATGGGCTTGAGTCTTCTTAAAAGATATTTTATTTTATTTATTTTATTTTTCAACTGTAATTATACTTTTCACCAATAATCTTATTAGAATTATCAAGCCAGAAATAATGGACAAAGAAGAAATTTTCCACCGTTTACTTTTCAAAGGCTGCTAGAAAGAGTTCCAAACAATTGAAACTCAGCCACTTAAACTAGCGGACTACACTATATATATGTCTCCAAGCTTTTCTTGGCATTATCAGTAATGGAGATATCTTCGGTTCTCACACTACTAAAAATTCGGAATTTAACGATCAAAATTTTGCGATCAAAGTTGGTCTGTCTAGATTAGCGACCAAAGTTGATCGGTAAAAAGAAGAAAAATATTTTATATTTATTTTATATAAATTACCGACCAAAGTTGGTCGGTAAAGTGGTCAACAGGTTGACCCAGATGGTCAACATTGTGTAGTCAAAGAAAATTTCACATTACCGACCAACTTAATGTGGGACCCAGTTAAAAAAATTTAATAGTTATATTATTATTTAAAATATTTTATAAAATATAAAGAAATCTTATTTAAAATTACCGACCAAAGTTGGTCGGTTAATACAGGGAAAACATTTAGCGACCAACTTTGGTCGCTTTTTTTTAATATCTGGAAAGTAACCGACTAACTTTGGTCGGTTTTTGGTCAATATTGGTCAAAATTTAAATCACTTTTATATTTACTATCTAAATAATATAAATGTAATCCGTTAACACTTTTGTAATACAAGGGATGAATACACTAACATATACTATAACTTGCTATATATGTAGTTAAAGTAGTACAACGAAGCGTGTTTTATATATATATATAGGTGAGACGTTTTATTTTTAATATTCAACGATACATACACACAACTACTTTATTGTAATACTTTAACTATATATATATAGCTTGTTATAGTATATGTTAGTGTGTGTATATATATAACACACACACTTCGTCATAGGCCGAGACGTTTTGTTTTTACTATTAACACATATAGGTCAGACGTCTTTGTTTTTAATATTCAACGATGCATCTGAGTAAGTTATAAGTCGATGAATCAATTTATAAATAGATATATTTGATGATAAATTATATATACTAATTAGGATCTTCACAAGTCTATCAATCCCTAAAAGAACCCGACCCTTATCTATATAGATATAGATATAGGTGAGACGTTTTGTTTTTAATATTCAACGAATGCATCTGAGTAAGTTAAAAGTCGATGAATCAATTTACAAACAGATATATTTGATGATAAATTATATATACTACTCCGGAAAGTCCTTCAACAACTCTAACCACCTCCTCTGATGCAAATTAAGGTCCTTCTGCTTGAACAGATGCTGCAAACTCCGGTGATCAATATAAATATCACAAGGCACACCGTACAAATAATGACGCCAAATCTTCAAGGCGTGAACAATAGCTGCTAACTCGAGATCATGGACAGGATAACTCTACTCATGTACCTTCAACTGTCTGGACGCGTAGGCAATCACCCTACCGTCCTGCATCAATACCACTCCAAGGCCAACCCTCGAGGCATCACAATAGATAATATAAGACCCCGAACCGGTAGGCAATATCAAAACTGGGGTTGTAGTCAAAGATGTCTTGAGCTTCTGAAAGCTCGCCTCACACTCTTCTGTCCACTGGAACAGAGCACCCTTCTGGGTCAGCCTGGTCATAGGTGATGCAATAGATGAAAATCCCTGAACAAATCAAACGTAAATAACCCGCCAAGGCAAAGAAAATTGCGGATCTCTGTAGCTGAGGATGGTCTAGGCCAACTCTGCCACTGCCTCTACTTTCTTCAGATACCACCGGAATACCCTCACTCGAAACCACCTGACCCAAGAATGCCACGGAATCCAACCAAAACTCACATTTTCGAGAACATAGCATGTAGTTTCTTCTCTTCAAAGTCTAGAGGCACTGTCTTCAGGTGCTGCTGCATGATCTTCCCGACTCCGGGAATATAGCAGGATGTCATCAATAAAGACAATGATGAATGAGTCAAGATATGGCCGGAATACACTGTGTATCAAATGCATGAAGGCTTGCTGGGGCATTGGTCAGCCCAAATGACATAACAAGGAACTCGTAATGGACCATACTGAGTCCTGAAGGCAGTCTTTCGGGATATCTGGCTCCCGAATCTCAACTGATGATAGCCGTGAACGCAAGTCAATATTAGAAAATAGACAAGCGCCCCTGTAACTGATCAAACAGGTCATCAATACGAGGCAAAGGATAACAGTTCTTCACTGTAACCTGTTTACAACTGGCAATAATTCAATACACAAACGCATAGAAACCATCCTTTTTCTTCACAACCAAGAACAGAAGAACACCCCAAAGGTGATACACTGCCTGGGACCGAATGAAACCCTTATCAAGCAATTCCTGTAGACTGCACTGTCACACTCAACACTCAACTCACAAGAGCCATACGGTACGGAGGAATAGAAATGGGTTGAGTGTCCGGCAACCAGATCAATGCCAAAATCAATATTCTCTATCGGGCGAACGCCCAGGAAGATCAGCTGGAAACACATCAGAGAAATCACTGTACTACTGGGACTGAATCAACTGTAGGGGTATCAATACTGATATCTCTCACATATGCTAGATACGCGTCACACCCCTTATCAACCATACGCTGATCCTTAAGGAATGAAATAACTCTACTGGGAAGTATGATCTAAGGTACCCCTCCAACTCTAGCTCGCGGTACACTTGGCAATAGCCAGCGTTAAACGGTTGTTCGCATGTGACAATCAAGAATAGCATAATGGGGCGACAACCAGTCCATGCCCAGAATAACATCAAAGTCTACCATGCTGAGCAATAACAAATCGGCTCTGGTCTCAAAACCACTAAGAGCAATCAAACACGATCGATAAACGCGATCCAAAATAAGAGAATCTCCAACAGTAGTAGAAACATAAATAAGGATAACTCAAAGAATCCTGAGATACGCCCAATACGGGGCAAAATAAGAGGACACATAAGAATAAGTGGAGCCTGGATCGAATAGAACCGATGCATCTCTATGACAGACCAGGATAGTACCTGTGATGACAGAATCAGAGGCGACAGCCTCAGTACCGGGAAAGAAGGGCATAGTATCTAGGCATGTCCTCCCCTCCGAGGGCGACCGTCTACCTCCCCGACCTCCACCTCTAGCTGGCTGAGCAGGTGGGTAGCAATTGGTGCTGTGATCATAGCCTGAGAACTCTGCGGGGCATGCTGTGGCTGAGAAGTCTGTGGAGCTGCACCCCTCCTAAGTCTGGGGCAATCCCTCACCATATGGCGTATGTCACCATACTAAAAACAAGCTCTGGGAGGATGTGGCGGCTGTGACTAGCTCGGGCCAGGTCTACTGGACTGACCACTGGAAGCACCCCGTGCAGGAGGCGCACTAGATACTGGTGGCGCATAATAAGGCTCCTGAGGTCTGGGAGGAGCTGGAATACCATTGGCTGCTGGAAGAGCTGAATGAACAGGGCGACTCATATAACCCCTACCATGACGACCTGCAGCTGGGGCACGGGCACCAGAATAATGGCCCGACTCTCGAGACCTCTTGGCCTCCCTCTCCTCTCTATCCCTAGCATGCATACCCTCAATCCTCCTAGCAATGCTCACCACCTGCTGATAAGAAATATCGATCTCCAACTCACGAGCCATGTTAGACCTGATGCTGGGAATAAGCCCCTCAATAAACCGGCGAACCTTCTCGCGAACAGTAGAAACCAAAGCTGGTGCATGTCTAGCCAAGTCGGTGAAACGGACAACATACTCCGAGATAGTCATAGTACCCTGGAGCAAATGCTCAAACTTTACTCGCCAAGCGTCCCTGAGACTCTGGGGAACGTATTGTCTCGTGAATATATCTGAAAACTGAGCCCAAGTCAGGGAAGCTGCTTCATCCGGATTGTCTAACTCATAAGCATGCCAGCACTGATAGGCGGCACCTCGAAGCTAGAAGGTAGATATACCCATGGTACGGAGGATACGGTAGCACTCCTCTAGAAATCCAAGAGTATCATCTGAGGCTAGTCCGCTGAATGTAGGAGGCTGATACTTCTTGAACCTCTCAAGTCTCTTCTGCTCCTCCTCTGAAGCTACTGCCCTCTCCTCGGGCTGAGTTGAGGCTACCGGCTGTACAAGAATAATCTCTGGGACCTGATCAACATGCACTCGCTGCTCAGGATTACGGGCGGCGGGAGTCTGTGCTCCTCCCCCGGCCTGGGATGTAGCTGCAGCAAGGGGAAGAAACCCTGCCTGAGCTAGAGTGGTGTACATAGTCATAAACTGCGCCAGAGTCTCCTGGAGTACTGGAGTAGTAGTACCAGTAAGCATATCAGGTGTCTGGACTCCGGTTGGAACTGCTGGTGGCACCTCGGTGGCAGCTCCCACGGGTGCTCTGGCTGCACCACGTGCGCATCCTCGGCTTCTACCCCGGCCCCGGCCTCTAACGACTCCCGTAGGGGGTGCGGGTGCCTGATCGTCTCGGGTAGCACGTGTCCTCACCATCTGTGAGAGAATATAAGACAGAAGTTTAGAATTGAGATATCAAAATCTCGCACGACAAGGAAATCAAATGAAGTGGAACTTTCCTAATAGTTACATAGCCTCTCGTAGATAAGTACAGACGTCTCCGTACCGATCCGCGAGACACTAATAAACCGGCTTGTGATTCATGACTCCTATGAACCTAGTGCTCTGATACCA